GCCGGCTACCAAGAGGACGCTGAGCTGGTTAACACTTAAGCCATCTGAGGATGGCAGAGCTAAAAGAGCACTGTAGCATGCCCACTAGGGCTTTGGAAGTTGTAGGCACCCACCCCTAGATGCTACCATGGAGCCTGGAGTCCAAAAGCACTCGCCCTGGCTCCTGCACTCCTGTCTGCATGCTCCCCTGCCCATAAGGGGTTTGAACATGCAGCAGCTGAACAGACGACACACACCCCTGTTGCATGTCCTGCAAGGGAGGTCAGGGAACTCTCTTATTTCATCGGCTATTACACATGAAAAATTATAGGTAGAAATGATGTCCAGAATGCTAATATCTCTCTTTGAAGAAGATTTTAAATTGTGTTTGCTGGATGTCCAGTGCCTAGATGCAAAGAAATACAAGATTCACTCTCATTATTTCATGGCTTCAGAGTTTGGGGATTCACTCAGGTAACTCAAACATTGAACGCAGTCTCAGTGAAGGCTGTTTTCCTTTCATTTTACCTAAGACACGAATGGCTTACCAAGACTGCCACCCTAAAAAAGCTCTGGACTCAAACTTTGGTCCTCTTTGTCCTGAGAGGCTCTCAGAAGAGCTGCTAAACCTTTGTGGATCAGTAAAGTCCCTGCAGGCAAAAATGGTTCCAAAGACTGGACTCACACCTCTCTCAGATATTCACTCAGAAACTTCACACTACCTTATGAACCACTGGCTACTTTTAGAAAGATGTTTGTAAATGTCATCCAAAATTTCGAAATGGTCTTTGTCAGGAGAGTAGGTGGATGTTCTACACCTTCAGTCTTCATGATGCTTAGCCAACTTAGACTTTGAAGACTCATTTGGATGGTTAATATACAGTGACAAATAAACTTAACTTTCATTAATAACCTAATCTTGTAAAATATGAAATCATACCACTAAAATGGACTACTTGGAAAAACGTAAAACAACCTTTGAGTTTTCTTCAGTTAAATTTGAAAGAAACTAGCCAGTTGGAACTTGTGTAGGAAATGATCAGGAAGCTAAAATAGAAAGATCCAGTAATGAAGAGAATCTGGTTTGTATTTGCATGAAATGTTGATATATACAAATGAAAGATGAAAAACTTTTTGTTAGAAAATCAGGTAGCCTGGAACAAGACAAGGATGCCCTTTCTTACCACTGCTATTCAACATAGTATTGGAAGTTCTGGTCAGAGAAATCAGGCAAGAGAAAGAAATAAAGCGTATTCAAATAGAAAGAGAGGAAGTCAAATTGTCTCTGCTTGTAGATGACATGATTGTATATTTAGAAAATGCCATCGTCTCAGTCCAAAATCTTCTTAAGCTGAGAAGCAACTTCAGCAAAGTCTCAGGATACAAAATCAATGTGCAAAAATCACAAGCACTCCTATACACCAGTAATAGACAGAGAGCCAAATCATGAGTGAACTCCCATTCACAATTGCTACAAAGAGAATAAAGTACCTAGGAATACAACTTGCAAGAGATGTGAAGGACCTCTTCAAGGAGAACTATAAACCACTGCTCAAGGAAATAAGAGAGGACACAAACAAATGGAAAAACATTCCACGCTCATGGATAGGAAGAATCAATATCATGAAAATGGCCATACTGCCCAAAGTAATTTATAGATTCAATGCTATACTATACCCATCAAGCTACCATTGACTTTCTTCACAAAATTAGAAAAAAAACCTCTAAATTTCGTGTGGAACCAAAAAAGAGCCTGTACAGCCAAGACAATCCTAAGCAAAAAGAACAAAGCTGGAGACATCACATTACCTGACTTCAAACTATACTATAAGTCTACAGTAACCAAAACAGCATGGTACTGATACCAAAACAGATATACAGACCAGTGGAACAGAAGAGAGGCCTCAGAAATAACACCACACATCTACAACTATCTGATCTTTGACAAACCTGACAAAAACAAGAAATGGGGAAAGGATTCCCTATTTAATAAATGGTGTTGGGAAAACTGACAAGCCATATGCAGAAAAATGAAACTGGACCCCTTCCTTACACCTTATACAAAAATTAACTCAAGATGGATTAAAGACTTAAATGTAAGACTTAAAATCATAAAAACTCTAGAAGAAAACCTAGGAAATATCATTCAGGACATAGGCATGGGCAAAGACTTCATGACTTAAACACCAAGAGCAACGGCAACAAAAGCCAAAATTGACAAATGGGATCTAATTAAACTAAAGAGCTTCAGCATAGCAAAAGAAACTATCATCAGAGTGAACAGGCAATCTACAGAATGGGAGAAAAATTTTGTAATCTATCCATCTGACAAAGGGCTAATATCCAAAATCTACAAGGAACTTAAACAAATTCACAAGAAAAAAATTAACAACCTCATCAAAAAGTGGGCAAAGCATATGAACAGACACTTCTCAAAAGAAGACATT